TTTATAGACGGGTCTGAAATTTCAACATGGACCAGCCCATCGGGTTTCCTGTTTGACACGAAACCACGGTACGAGTTGCCTTCCATCATCGTCGTTACTTTCGTTTAACAAAAGAACAGAGATATCGTGACTTTCAAATAGTTCGAAAGGAATGTCATCGAAGGAAGCGTTGGTTACCTTGCCAAAATTCCAACAAGCGAGGTAGCTTCCTCCCTCCTGAGTCCCATCATTGTTATATTTAATCCAACAAAAGAACGACGAGCTGTGACTTCCGACCCGACAGGAAGGAACATCATCGAAGGAGGTGAAGAAGTCTTTTTTCTCTTTTATCAGTTACCTTTGGAATGAGCGATCTCCCTGCACCCTCCCAATCCCAAGCCCCATCATTATCGTTACTTATGATCCAATAAAAGAACGGCGGGTTATCAGGTTAACCCAAGCGGGACAGTGCTGGGGCGAGGGGAATCGAGTCAGATCTGGATCAACTACGGGTTTGCGGATTGATCCAGACCCAGCCCATCTTTTCAAACAGTCTGAATTTTGGAACCTAAACCCAACCTGTTTATCAAATTAGTTGACCCTGACCCAAGATTTTTAGATCGAGTTCAGGTAGAGTTTTTGGGTCATGTCAAATATTGACACCCCTAATTAATTCTGTTAGTGATAATGTTTTTATATCCTTTGATTCTTCAATTACATAAATTATTGTATCAATCTTTTTTGTATATACAATCTTTTTTGTACAAGAAATTAGTATCTTCTCAACTATCTCCTTGTCATATATTGTAGCTCCAATCTCTATAGGCTCTCATTTGGTTAACTATTTCTTTTATTCTAGAGAAATAATCTTTTGTGGTCTCATTGTTATTCATTTTTATATTCTCAAATCTCGTTTCAGATTATGCAACTTGATGGAGCATACGTTCTTAGTTCCTTGAAACTCTTCCTGCAATATATCCTATGCTTGTTTAGAAGTCATTGCGACCATGATTCATGGAAAGATGTCGTCTGCCATTGCTTGTTGTAAGACAAATAATTCTTGAGAATCCTTTTGTCAATTCTCTTTAAGCGCCTTTTGTTGTTTTGCTAAAAGACTCATCAACAACATTGAATCCTTCTTCAACGATCTTCTACAATTTTTTGAAGCAAAAATATGTCTTCATTTTGATAGACCAAAAATCATAATTTTCTCCATTGAAGAATGGAATCGGGACAGTAGCACAGTTGGCGTTTTCAATTGGATTTTAGACAATATATATTTCTCTAACACCCAATGAGTGATTGAGCAAGGCTCTGATACCAAATGTTGGGAATACTTTGGAAGATAGATAAGGAGGTAAGCAATAGGCTATAGAGATTTTAGGTGGGAGAATAGAAGAATAATTTTATCACTAAACTTTTGCTGATAACATCATGATAATACATATTTGTAGGTATGAAGCCTAAAGCTAGAGACTTCTATAACATAGCAATTCTAGAGTTTTCTTTATTTAATACAAATATCCTAGATCCTTCTACTAACACCACTTTAAAGTTTTCTCTAATTATAACAAATATCCTAGAATTTTATGCCATTCAAGAGTTTTCTTTATTTATTACAAATATCTAGAATATTTTAAATTAAACAAGATTGTATAATACTATAAAAATTTGAGAAATGAGCATCAATTTTTGTCAAGTTTTGATCAACAGTTGTTCAAACTGGAACCAGAATCGGAACCCGAACCCGAATGACCAACCTAAATTAACACCTCTACCATACCTTACACCTATCCTCTGGTTCTCAGCTAAAAAAAAAAAAAAAAAAGACTAATTTAAAACCTCTCTTACTAAATAGTCATCCTCAACCCTCAACATTAGATATTTCACCATTCTCTCTCAGCTCAAGTTTCTCATGAACAACATCAAAAACTCACACCACCTAATATAAGAAGTACTTCACCTTTTTAGACCTGCTGACTTTGAAGGCTATCTGCTCAACATATCTCCCAAGCTCCTCGTCATCGAAGACCACACCATCACCCTCAGCCTAGAATACTCACTCTGAAACTTAATCAATCAATTTTTTTATTATCAAAGATGTTGAGGATCGATGTAAGCTAGGGTAGAGTGCCCCGTAGGGCTTATGTAGTCTCCAATGCACCATTCCAACTTTGCAGAACGTGAAAGAAAGCTAAAGCTAAAGTAGGCAAGAAAGCTGAGTGAGACATAAAGAAGATGGGATAAATAGCCATTTCATTTCTAATAATCAACGTGTAATACCTACAGTTTGAGTTTTCTAAAGTGATCTTACTGCACCATATTGTAACACAGAACAATGACCATTAATATTCTAATCGATGGCTAGGATTCATTTGCTGCAATAGGTGCCCAGTTGCATGCATCCTCATAAACAATCTGAAAGGCTTGATTCCTTTCATCACAAAATCCGAAAAAATAAATGTTATTTTGGTGGTGTTATGACATCTACTATATTATGCTATTATTATTTTCTCAAGTAAGGACAAGATTATAGTTAGGAAAATTTGGAACCCTGCAAAATTAAATAACAAAGCTAATATGTCTTCACTCAAATGCAAACAAGCATCCTATGCATGCCTACATGTTCATGTAGGAGGCTACATAATATGTCCATAACAAAGAATAATAGTTACATGCAATCAAGCAAGCTATGCTCCAAGGCATAAGACAATGTGAAATACTTGCATCTATTCTTTGTCTTAACTTGATTTGGTATCAAAATCACCTTTTTTTGGTATTATAGTATTATAGATGAAAGCATGGTATGGGAAGATAATTTTTAGGTTTCGTTCGGGATCACATCTTTCTTATTGCTTTTAAAAGCATATAAAAATTATGGTTCAAGAAATTTTTATACTAAAAAGCTACATTAGAAAATAGTAAGAAATTTATCTCAAACATAGTTTTAAGCTTTGTTTGGGACGATTTTTTTAAGATTTCTTAAAGAATTTTTTTAGAATTTTTGTACTTGAAAGTTGCTTTAAGAAACATTAAAAAACCATTCCTAATGAAGCCTTAATCACTCAAAATATTTTAAATAGAAAGTTGTTCATGATGTAAGATCGATCATTTTAAATATTTTATAGGATTATTTTTTTATTTGGAAGTTAATTTTTAATATTTACAAAATATATATTTTAAAATATGGGTTGATGTCTTATACAATAGAAATGACATCTTTCAAATTAAATATTAAGAATTGTTTTCTAAAATGTTTATAGATATGTCATAATTAGATTTTTTTTTCTATGTAGAGCAATTTGTTCCTTTCTTTATATGTAATTGACAATGCCTTCAGTTATATATATATAGAAGGTTTTGTTTTATTTTTTGTTTTTTTGGTATGAAAGAGATTGAAGAAAGTTACATTTTATTATTTATAAATATAATGAAAAATGGAAAAAAGCAAAATGTCACCAAAAGAAAATCATGGACATAAAATGGACATTAATGAAAATTTAATAGAAATTATATTTGGATATCTCGATATAAATTATATTAGAATCAGCTTAAAAATATTTAAATTTTTTTACTATTAGTATAATAAAAGCTCTTTATATGCAATACTAATCTCAAAATAAATTTAAAGATTCTCAAATACAACCTGATATTATTTGTATTAAATCTCCCAAAACCTCCATACAAAATATATAATAGCCAAAAATAAATAAATAACAATTATAATAATTAATCTCATAATTTTCTAAATAGAATATTATTAAGATTTAACCAAATATCTAATAATATTAATTATTTTTGGAATAACAATATTTTCTGGATATTAATAATAATATTATCTTTATAACTACCCTACTTAGGAAAAATACTAAAATATCTAGCTTATTATCCCTTGCAATCCCCTTTTTTCAACGTGCTTTGATTGATGGCTTATCTAATCTCTATATATACTATTAATTAGCGGCTAAGACTAACCAATCTGCTTCTAATGAATCATTGCAAGCTATGAAACATTTCATATGCAAAATTTAAATTAAAATAAAAAAAAAATAAAAAAGCCGAAATTAATAATGGCAAAGATTGAAATGAAATTTATTCTCTAAGAAGTCCAAATGAGAGAATTAATATAAATTTTCTATTGTTAAAATTTTAAGTACAGCCGCCTATCTTATGATTGTATATTAATTAATTATTACATGCTAATTAATCTACTTGCTAATCATGATAACTAATGCTTTTGAGTCACTAAAAATACTTTATTGTAAAGTTAATCTCAAAGCTAAGCTTAATTCTTTAATGAGAGATTAAGTTTTTTTTAGCTCCACAAAGCTTTTTTTTTTTTTAATTATATACAAAATTAGATTTTTTTTTTTATATGTGAGATTAAGGTTTTTTTTAACAGCTTTCTTACAGCTTCTTAAAACAGGTTTTTAATATGAAAATGTTAATTTTTATATTAAAAAAACTACTAAAAAAAGTCATAAGAAAGACATCTCAAATAAAGCCTAAGATTTCATTTGAGATAAAATTTTTAGTACTTTTTAAAATAATTTTTTAGTTCAAAAATTTTTTTAACTAGAATTTTTTATACTTAAAAACTGCTTTAGAAAGCAATAAGAAAGCCATCGTAAATGAAGTCTAAGACTTCATTTTTGATAACTTTCTTGATACTTTTAAAGCAGCTTTCTAGTAAAAAATTAAAATTTTTATATAAAAAAGTTGTTTTAATAAGTAGTCCTAAACAAAGACTAAGTTTTTTATTTATATTTTATATAAAATTAAAATATTTAATAATTCATTAAAGATTGCATACTATTATTATCTTATAATTCTTTATCTTATAGGAGCAAAAATAGGCCGAAATACTTCTTAAATTAAAAAAAATACCTTTAAGATTACTGAAATAAATTAAAGAAATAAGCTAAACTTAATTAAGGTTTTAATAATAATAAACTAAGCTTTCAAATACACATAATCCCACAAAAGAACCAACTCATCAAGTTTCTCTAAAAACAAAACAGCACTCGTCATTCCCAGCTGCTATCCTGCTCCAGCGAAAAAGAACTCCTTTAAAAACAGCTTCCTCCGTCTTCTTCTTCTTCAAAGCTTCAGCATCTTCCTTCTTATCTCAATTCCTCTCATTCTCTCATGCCCATATTGCAAAACATTCTCTTCCTCCTCCTTCCTTCTCTCCTCACCCTCTTCTTTTACTTTTATCTCTTCCTATGGAAGAGATCAAAGCCCACCCCCAACCTCCCTCCCGGCCGCCGCTGCCAGCTCCCTTTCTTCGGTGAAACTTTCTCCTACCTCAAATCCCACTCAGCCATCACCACCGGCCACTTCATGCAACATCAAATAGCCCGGTACGTAGTCACCGGTGCAATCAGAGAGAGACTGAATGAGCTTTTCGATCTAATCTTAATCAAAGTCATAATTTTTATTGGTCTCTCAGGTATGGAAAGATCTACCGATCTAATCTTTTTGGTGATCCGACGATCGTTTCGGCGGACGCAGGGCTGAACCGATTCATCCTGCAAAACGAAGGCCGGCTATTCGAGTGCAGCTATCCTAAGAGCATCGGTGGAATTCTCGGCAAGTGGTCGATGCTGGTGCTCGTCGGAGAGATGCATCAAAGCATGAGGATGATAGCTCTCAATTTCATGAGCAACGCTCGCCTCCGCTCCATACTCCTCCCAGAGATTGAAAGACACACGCTTTTAGCAATCTCTTCCTGGAAGGAAGATGTCTCCTTCTCCGCTCAAGATGAAGCAAAGAAGGTGCTAATTAAGTAATTAATGAAAAAATAATCAGATATAAACATAGTTTTTAGTAATTAATATGGTTTATTTGCAGTTTACTTTTAACTTGATGGCTAAGAACATCATGAGCATGGAGCCAGGGGAGATGGAGACTGAGAAGCTGAGGAAGGAGTACATAACATTCATGAAAGGAGTGGTGTCTGCACCGTTAAATCTTCCTGGAACTCCATACTCAAAGGCCTTGAAGGTACCTAATTACTACTTAATTAGGTTAATTAATCACTAATTATGTCTGATTAATGATGTTGATAATTTGATTATTGATGGAGAAGGTTTGTTACTTGTTAGTTTAGTAGATTGGAGACTGAAACAGTACAAAACATATTTAGCAAAGCGTGTGAGAGAGCTGGATTCTTTTTTTTTTCCTGACCAGTGTGAGGTCGCATTCACAGATTCATTGCTCCCATCTGCTTTTATTTCTTTCTCATTCAATTTAATAAATGGGAAAGCTATGTGTCCCACTTCATCATAAATAATCATTGTGGGGTTCATATGTTATTAATTTCTCTCTTCCATTCTAGTCTTCTCTCTCTCCTTTCTATCATCCTTTTTTTTTCTTTAATAAATATTATGATTGCATGTTTTTAATAAAAAAAGTAGAACTAAATGCATAATTTGTGATATTTGCATGATATACACAAATTAATTTTTGCATACATCAAATATATTATATCACAAGGTGATAATATATTCTCTCTTGTGCATGCATGAATTAAGTGAGTAATAATGATAGGAATGAATTAACATCCTTTATCTCATTATATGGGATCAGCTACATTAACGACAGTCGTGTGATTGTCTGGTCCAAGCATAGACGAGAAAAATGGAGGATTGCATCAAGTAGTTGATAACTCGTGTAAAATTTGTGAACAATCTTGACATGAACCTCTGAATTTATTGTGGAATGAACGAACAGTCGAGATCGAATATTCTTCGAGTTATTGAGAAGAAGATGGAGGAGAGGAGTCATGAAAGAAATGAAGAGAAGGAAGAAGAAGATGATCTCTTGGGCTGGGCTTTGAAACAATCTTCTCTATCAAAGGAGCAGATTTTGGATCTTCTTCTCAGTCTCCTCTTTGCAGGCCATGAGACCTCTTCTATGGCTTTGGCTCTCACTATTTTCTTCCTTGAAGGCTGCCCAAAAGCTGTTCAACAACTAAGAGTAATATATTTTTATATACTTTTTTTTATTATTAAATGTTATGATCAAATTTTTTTTAAAAAATTTTATTATTCTATTTTGTTTTATTTGTTGCAGGAAGAGCATCAAATTATTGCTAGGAGGAAAATGGAAAGAGGGGAGACAGGTCTAGACTGGGAGGATTACAAGCAAATGGAGTTTAGTCAGTGTGTAAGCATTTCATATATATATGCTAAATTTAATTAACTTGTAATTAAGATTATTAAGAAGTATGATTTGTGTTAACTTTAGATTTAGTTGCTAATTAAACATGAATTATATTGGCTTAATGAAGGTGATTAATGAGACACTTCGGCTTGGGAATGTAGTGAGGTTTGTTCATAGAAAGGCCATTCAAGATGTGCGTTATGGAGGTTGGCTCTTCTTATCCATCTTCTATATATTATGAAAATTTAACAATATATATATAAATAATTAAAAAAATTTCATTTTATGTTTTTTTTTTCAATTTTATGTAGTTTTGAGATTAGCGCCATACTAATCTTAAAGTATTTCAACTTTATTATAATATAATTTCTACCAAAATATCATACCACAAAAAATTTTTATTTATATGATATAATTAGTTGATTAATGAATATTTTTTTAAATATTGAAAGACTATGATATCCCTTGTGGATGGAAAGTTCTTCCAGTGTTTGCTGCTGTTCATTTGGACTCAGACCTTTACAATGAGCCTCAGCAATTCAATCCATGGAGATGGCAGGTTAGTAATTTTAATTTATGCCATGCCCTTTATTTTATGTTATTGCATATATAGCATTATTTATTATCAGCAAATATGAGAATTTTAATGAATCATGTGAAGTACTGTGCACACTTACAACATGATTTTAATTAGTAAAAAAATTTAATTAGATTTTAGCTTTTATTTTGATGTAGGTTTGATAAACAAAGCATAAGGCCTACTCACAAAGAGAGAACATCAAAGAATGTTTTTTTTTTTTTTTTGTATGAGGCTCCTGTTTGATGCAGCTTTTTTTAGTGCTTTTTAAAGCAGTTTTTTAGTATACAATTTTTATTTTAAAAAAAATTGTACTAAATAAAATGTTTTATAAAGCAATACAAAAGTTGTCCCAAACTAAGACTTCATTTTGGATAGCTTTTTTCCCGCTTCTTAAAGCGGTGTTTTAGTAAAAAAATAAAAATTTTATATTAAAAATCTGCTTTAGGTTTCTTACTTCTTCTTAAATAATATTTTTAATACAAAATTTTAATTTTTGTACTAGAAAGCTATTTTAAAAAGCAGTAAGAAAGTCGTTCCAAACGAAGCTAAGTCTAAGGTTTCATTTGTGATGGCTTTCTTTTTAAAATAGCTTTTAGATTAAAAAAAATATTTTTCAGAAAATTTTATACTAAAAAGTTATATTTTTTCAAATTATTTTCATTTTTACATTATTTATATTTCAAATTTAATAATATTTATTTTTTTGTTAGTTAATTGGAAGCCTTTAATAATATATAAAAAAAAAAATTGAAGGTGATGGGCTATAAATGAGAAGAAAGAGAGTACTCCTCAAAGAACGTGTGATTTCTACTACCATTATTTGGAGAGATACATATCACCACATATTTGTTTACCTTTTGCCTAAAGAGACATATCATAATAATTTTATTGTTTTATTTAATTTTATAGATTCAAGTATATAGTTATTTTTTTCATGATAGAAATCAATTTTAATATTTAAGTAATTTTTTTTTTTATTTCCTATGTGATTTTTATTAGAGATGTTCGACCGGTGCGGCTTCAAATAATAATTTTATGCCATATGGTGGCGGGCCGAGGCTATGTGCGGGTTCAGAACTAGCGAAGCTAGAGATTGCGATATTCTTGCACCACCTAGTGATCAAATTTCGATGGGAGTTGACAGAGCCCGACTGTGCCTACGCCTTTCCCTTCGTCGAATTCCCCAAAGGGCTCCCTATCAAAGTCCATGCGATTACATAAGATCTTGTTTGTAAAAATTAACAAGAGGGAGGGAGGGTAAGAGGGTTTGTCATAAGCAGATTTCATTTAGGAAAATTTTTATATTGCTTTCTAAAGCAGCTTTTTAATTCAAAACTTTTTTTGCACTGAAAAGCTGCATTTGAAATCAATAAAAAAGTTGTCCCAAATGAAACATTGGAGTGATGACGGGACCAATTCAAAGCTCTTGTGTATTTATGGAGAAGAGCGTGAATGTAGTTTCTTAAAGGTTACCCAACTTTTGCTCATATTGTAAAGCATTCCATGCTAATTAACTTCATTTCTTTGCCATTTATGTTTTTTGCAAGCAAAATTTGCTAATGTCACGCTATGCGCAACTAAGGTTTCATTTGGGACGGCTTTTTTCATGCTTCTTAAAATAATTTTTTAGTAAAAAATTAAAAATTTTATACTAAAAATATGTTTTAATAAGTAGTAAAAAAGTCGCCCCAAATGAAGTATAAGTTGTTGTAGCAATATTAATCCTCCAACGTCCTCAAGCAGCAAGCTGAACAACTGCCCGTCTTCTCTTGCAACAAGGCTGATCTCTTTAGATTCCCTCAAAACAGTAGTTTTACCTATGCCAATAAAATGTCGCCACGTGCTCTTACTCTTTACCGTGCGGCCCGAAGACCCGACCCGGAATGAAAACCCGGTATTGCTATGTTTGTGTATTGCTAAGTATTGCTTGACAATAACAAGAAATACTACTGTGTCAAGACCATTAACGAGCAATACTGCTAGGTATTGTTAGGTATTGCTCGGTATTACTGGTTATTGCTCGGTATTGCTAGGTATTGGTCTTGACATAATGATATTTATCGTTACAGAGCAAAACCTAGCAATACCCTGGTCCGAGTCGGGTTGTCGAGCCTCACGATAAATAGTAAGATCACATGGCGACATTTTATTGACGTCCGGATGTAGAGCTATGTCAGATGTTCGGACCTAATAAAAATTCCATAACAAGAGGCCCAAGAGATCACCACAGCCCATTCCTCACAAAAGTCAGCCAACTTCCCCACTTCCTAACGCCCATCAATCTTCCAAATTAGCCCATTTCCTCCATTGAAAACTAAAAATTAAAGCAGTAAGTGTCCTTTATTATTATTATTATTATTTATATTGCTATTGATACCAATGTTAGTTATTAGTGTTAGTTAATATAAGTAATTTCTTTTTTTACCATTATCGTTAATTGACGTCATGAATTGCTTGTTATTGATATTGTTAGTTAAGAATATATAAAGAAAAATAAGCCAAAAAAAAAAGAGAAGAGAAAGGAAAGGAAATGAAAAGAAATTTCTATATTTTTTTATTCTCGTCGCCACCGTCAATCGTCACACACCAAGGTATAATCCCTCAATTCGAAACCTCCAAGTCTCATTTTCAGCATTCGCAGCGCACCGGGGACCCCCTTTGCTCCTCCAACCTCATCGTAGATGTGATACGACTGCTATACCGAAGAAATGGAACATGAAAAGAAGATGAGTAAGCGAGCTTGGGTAAATAGCGGATTTGGGATCGAAAGTGGGAGGTAGTGCTGACGGGATTACACGCGCTGAACTTAGATTGAGATCGTCTTGTGCGTGCTGGAAGCGGAAGAGGTCAAACGAATTGCTCTCCATCGACTAAGTCGATATTAGTGGTGAACTCAGTCAGAGAGAAGTATAGTCAAAATCTCTTTTTCTTCTTCCCGCAGCATGGCTGAGCAGATCCAAGAGTAGATGATGCATTTAAGGGTTGAATCGACACAGAACTATCATACCCATCTCCCGGGAGCTCAAATCCGATATACTTCTAGTCGTCGCTGCAATTATCAATCTTACCATAATTGGAGACTTAAAAAAAAAGGAAAATTAAGTAAAATATAGTGTTCCCTGTTGAACTTCGGTCTTCGCTGCAGCTGAAACAAAAACCAAGAAAAGCTACATTGCAAGGTAAGGAAGAAGGAAATGCAGAGCAAGCAATGTTACTGTTCCATTGAGCTCGATGTAATGAGATACAGGGTTTATAAAAGGTAAAAAGACGCTGAAGACAACATCAGCGGCTGAGATTAAATGCAGTGATCCAACGATTGGTAAATGCTGCATAACTGTGCTCTGTACAGTGGAGCGTAGTGGACATGTGAATTGAGCATAGGTAGTTATAAGACGGCTGGCTTATCACCGCCCCGCAAGCTAACATTTGCTTCAGCAATGTGCAGCTTGTCACGTAAAAACTGAAACCGAGGAATAGATAACGGCTTGGTAAACAAGTCAGCCAGCTGATCCACTGTATGAATATACGAGACAGTGATGAGCTTGTTTTTGATACATTCCCGCACAAAATGAAAATCTATTTCAATGTGTTTGGTCCGAGCTCTGAAAATTGGGTTGTTAGCAAGAGCAATTGAAAAGATGTTATCACAAAGAAGGACAGTTGGTGCGGAAGTAGGAATAGAAAATTCCTGCAAAAGACGACGCAACCAAATTATATCAATAGTAGCTGTGGCAAGAGCACGATATTCGGCTTCAGTGGAAGAGCGAGCGACCGTCTTTTGTTTTTTTACTTGCCATGAGATAAGATTAGAACCCAGAAAAGCACAGTAGCCAATAGTGGATTTCCTATTAGCAGGATCACCAGCCCAATCGGAGTCCGAATAAGCATGTAACTGAAGATCAGTAGCATTAATGAGAATGCCAAAAGATAGAGTGCCTTTAAGATACCGAAGAAGCCGTTTGAGAAGCTTGAAGTCAGACTGTTGAGGACAATGCATATGTTGGCATAACCTATTAACAGTGAAAGTAATATTCCAGACGGGTAACAGTTAAATACTGAAGAGAACCAATTAAATGCCGGAATAGATCGGAAGCTGCAGGAGATAGTTCAAGCAAACTAGAGGCCGTCTCGGTAACCAATTTTGTAGGAATTGGTAATTTTGTAGGAATTGGTGAAGAAGTTCTGGTAGGTGAAGTAGAGGAGATATGATCTGTAGGTAATGTTGGTTGGGTAATGGATATGTTTTCAGAAGTAGAAAGAATGGTAGAAGGAGGATTATTTGAAGCATTTTGGATATTCGTGGGAACAAGCATCGATGAAGAAGTAGGAACAAAAGGAATTGTTTCAGGAGTTGATTCGGAGGTTTGTATGGTGGAGAATGGAAAATGATATTCATAGAATTTGACATGACGGGAGATAAAGAGTTTGTTTGAGTCAATGTGGTAGCAAAGATATCCTTTAGTGTGAGCCGGATAACCAAGAAAAATGCAGGGAAAAGATTTGGAATGAAATTTGCCGTGAGCCTTTTGAGGTAAAAAAGGATAACAAAGACAGCCAAATGTTTTAAGAAAGGTATAATCAGGTGGATGATGGAAGAGGAGTTGATACGGAGAAGAAGTTTTCTTGGATAAAGATGGAAGACGATTGATGAGAAAAACAGCCGTTTGAACGGCATGAACTCAGAATTTATGTGGCAAGGAGGCATCATGGAGTAGAGTTCGAGTAACTTCAACAATATGACGATGCTTACGTTCAGCAACGCCATTTTGTTCAGGTGTATAAGGACACGTAACTTGATGAATAATACCACAATGCGCAAGAAAATTTTGAAATGCTGTACAGAGATATTCTCCTCCACCATCTGTGCGAAAGCATTTAATTTGTTTATTAAATTGTTGTTCCACTTGAGCTTTAAAATGTGAAAAAACAGATGGAACATCTGATTTTAGTTTCAATGGATAAAGCCAAGTAAAACGAGAAAAGTCATCAATGAAGAGAATATAATATTTATAGCCAAACAAAGATAGGATTGGGGAGGGACCCCATACATCACTATGAACTAAATCTAAAACAGCAAGAGACCTAGTAGAAGAGGTAGTAAATGGAAGCTTGTGACTTTTTGAAAGTTCACAAGAAGTACAATTAAAAGGTTTAGATGCAGATTGTAGTCCGGAATTTGCTGGAGGCGGCAATTTGAGAAGAACTTGATATGAAGGATGTCCTAGCCGTCGATGCCACAGTTGATGTGAGGAAGTGATGGCAGCGAACGCATGAGGAGAAGAATATGTTGCAGATTCAGTAGAGATGGGGTAGAGACCGCGTTGACATAGACCTTGAAGGAGAATTTGGTTGGTCTTCAAGTCCTTGATTTTGTAGCCAAAAGGATCAAACAGAATGGAACAAGAATTATCGTTAGTTAGACGATTGACAGATAAGAGATTTCGTGTGAGATTAGGAACAAGATGTAGGGAAGACAAACGAAGCTTACGATGAGGGGTCGGCAATAACCCTTTACCAGTATGTGTAATGGGAAGTAATTCACCATTGCCGACAACTACGTACCTGTTGATTTCCAACATATTGCTTTGGATTTGAAACTTGAGCAAAATCAGACGTCAAGTGAGAAGTAGCTCCTGTATCAAGTAGCCATTCCGATGACGGTGGAGCAGTATCGGTAGAATACGCAGAAACGTTTGGTGGAGGTAGTGAGAAATCACCCCGGTACCAACATTTAAATGCACTGTATCCAAACTTTCCACAGATTTGACACTCTACCGAGTTCTGTGTTGAAGTCGAACCGCGACCAGATGACGAACGTCCACGAGGAGGACGAGAAGAGGAGCGACCGCGATAACCACGACCACGTCCTCTTCCTCATTGAGCTGTAAATGCCGGAATAGTCTCAGGAGCAGGGGATGAAACTGATAAATCCCGAAGAGAGTCAGCGACTAAATTAAATTCTTCACTACATAATAGTGAGTAGAAATCATCCAAGCTAATTGGATTCAAGTTCGTCCGTATTGCCGTTTTGAAGCCTTGGTAAGCAAGCGGCAAACCGTTCAATGTGTACATGATAATGTCATCCGAAGACAACGGCGCTCCAGCAGAGCCAATAACGTCTACTTTGCTCTTAATCTCAGAGAGATACTGCATCATTGATTTATCCTTCATCGACACATGGTGCAGTTCATTCTTAAGCTGGAGAATACGTGAACGGTTTGTCGATTGCAGTCGACGTTCAATAGTCGACCAGATCTCACAACAGAAGTTGAGATCGAGAACATAAGGCAAAAATGTCGGTGATATTGTAGAATACAGAACAGCTGCTAGATTCTGATCTATCAGCAACCAGGTTGAGTATTCGGGATTGGAAGCAATCCCAGCAGCAGTAGTTATCAGTTTTGGAGGCTTAGGCGTTGATCCATCTAAGTATCCATCAAACCCATTAGCAGCAAATAGCTTAAAAATCTGAGACTTCCAGAGACGATAATTTTCCGCCGTCAACTGAATGTTCAACACGGACTTAACATTAGT